CAAATTATAAAGAAGTGTGTAAGTAAATCTACCGCTGTGTTCTCGGTTACAATATAACAATTATAATAATCAAACCGTTTGTTGCTTTATTCTGCATATTACAATAAATATTACATATGTAGATACATATTGATGTAAATTTATTTAAGTAAAATTAATAAAATAGGGTCATTTAAATTTGAAGGACTATTACATAAATACACACATATACATATATATACGAGAATATACTTATAAATAAATAATATACATAAATATTAAAAAAAAAAGAATTTTATTAATACTCAAATCGATTTCATCAAAGTGAACGTTTTATTAWACGGTTTTGCTTCTAAAAATATATATGAGGTAAAAAGTAGCCACGTCTTGTATTCAATAAGGAGCGACGACGCTTAAATAATAAAGTGCTGTCAAGCCTTAGGAAAAATGTACATAGTAATTTACAGATATATGTAAAAATATATACATTGTAATTTAGCTTTCGTAGAGTTTTTTTATTTTTTTATTCTCTATTTTGCTGCCATAGCGATGCTAACCATTCGTCGTACCACATTAACGTCTGTTGTGGCGTAGGGAGACACGTCTTGCTTACCCATTGTTACATCGCAATCCATGCTCGCCACGCTGCCATTATTGGTTATCGCGCCAGCGGCTGCCTGTGCAGAAGCATGAAATTCTACGCATTTTGTAATTGTTAACAATTCATCCAAATTGCTTACACTAATACCAGCACCAGGCATTATAATTATATCACGATGCTTAGCAATGAGTTGTGCAAGATTATCACTACCCTCGATAGCGGTAACGCGAAAACCGCTACTGAGCAAACGTTTAAAACCCAATTCTTTTATGATGTTGACATTTTCGTGCATTAATTGTGGATTAGTGAGATCGAATGCACGATGGAATGTAAGTGGCATGCCTCCAGCGCKCTCCAAAACACGTTGACATTTTTCCACATCGATGGAACGCTGTTCGGTAAGTGCACCAAAGACRAATCCATCAGCACCGTGCGAACGTAGTATATCCAAATCAAGTAATATGGCTGCTATTTCTGCATTTGAGTAAATGAAATCATTTCCTCGTCTTGGTCGTAGCATGCAATAAATTGGTATGGTTATAAGTTCCTTAAGTGTTTTCAGTGTTCCAGGCGAAGGCGTTAAGCCTCCTTCAGTTAGCGCCGAACATAGTTCAATGCGTGAAGCACCGCCCTCGGCCGCGGCTAGTGCCGAAGCAATTGAATCGACACAAACCTCTAACTTTATATCGGTTGAGGACATTGTAGCCAATTTTTTTATATTTATACTATATATTWAAATACTTTAATTTGAATTAACTAAAAACAGATATGTATTTTATTTCCCGCAGTTCCAAAACAAATAACAACAGTGATCAAAACAAATCTATGAATGAAAGATACAACATAGTTGCCAAGATTTTTAAAATTGTAATTGAACAGGGTGCGATAGTGGTGCCAGAAATAAATTATTAAGTTATATATACACAATCCATCGTTCAGTGCCACTGATAAAAAAAAATATTATTTTAAATATACTTAAATTTTTATATTCTTGCAACATGTTGATACAGAGTGTTTGTAGGTATGTTCACAAAACGGTTGTACATAATCGAGATATATATAYATACATCTGTCTGCACATTTGTCCCTCCCTGCAAGCTGAAACTTAAATTGATTTAACTCGATTAAACTTGGTATGCGCGCCCCTTAGTTAAAAAAATCGTCAAATTAACAAGTTTTTGTTTCTCAGAAGTGTGTGTCATTTTAAAAATTAATTCGTTAATCTTTTGCAATATGTTTTGTTTGTATTTTTTTTTTTATTCATTTGCAGTACTATAATAGTCATTCACAATAAATTGACCGAATCAGCTGTTAAGATATCACTACAGTGGGTGCTCCCGTGGCATTGCACATTTCGTTATAGGTTTTAGCATTTTGTGTCAACGTGCAATCTTGCAGGAGCAAGAGAATTCCCCTATTATCTATTCAAATGAAATACATCACTGGTTATGTATCGCAATTGGGATCTTTTTCTTGTTGCCTTGATATTGCTTAGTTGATTTTGTAATTCTATAAACCGCTAAATATAATATAAAACTTTATACAATAAAATATGAGACTATCGCATTTGCTGAATGCAATGACGGCGAGAGAACCAGTTTTGCCGCGACGAAGGGTAAATTAATTATAATGTAGTGACCTTGCTGTAATAAATATCATCACACGAACTTTCTTACATCGTAATTTTCTCCTTACATACAAAAGTTTAAACTTGTGCTTATCCACAGAACAAACTTAAATCTTTGGCGATTGTGACCACAGGTGCAACTATATTCTATGCGGGATTTTGTATGTACAAAGGCAATGAAAAATTTTACAAGAACACTTTAATGCCCTTATCACGCTATTTGCCGGCGGAAACAACTCATAAATTGGCCGTTCTGGCTTGTAAATATAAAGTATTTCCAGCCTCGACACTTCCAGACTCACATAATTTGGTTCGTACCCAMAAGTTTTTATAATATTTAAATACTAATACAATTGCTTTAACATATTTCAGGCTGTTACATTTTTTGATAAAGGCATAACGAATCCAATCGGCATTGCTGCTGGTTTTGATAAGCAAGGTGAAGCTGTAGAGGGCTTACACAAATTAGGGTTTGGTTTCGTGGAAATTGGTTCAGTAACCCCTGAACCGCAGCCCGGCAATCCAGAACCACGTGTTTTTCGTTTAATTAACGATGAAGCTATTATAAATCGTTATGGATTCAATAGTGATGGACATCGAGTGGTGTTTGACCGCTTAAATGAACTAAGAAATGTGCGAGGTTTCAACGGAGTGCTGGGAGTCAACCTAGGTAAAAATAAAACGTCGGAATCGCCGATTTCAGATTACGTGAATGGCGTAAAAGTGTTTGGTCCCATTGCTGATTATTTAGTTGTTAATGTGAGTAGTCCAAATACTCCAGGTTTACGAGATTTACAAGGAAAAAAGGAGTTGGAACAGTTGCTAACAGCAATAATTGAAGCGCGAAATTCTTTAACGGTTAATAATAAAATACCTATATTTTTGAAAATTTCCCCAGATATTACTAAACAAGATATAAATGACATTGTTAGCGTTATAAACAAGAAAAAATGTTGCGTTGAGGGATTAATAGTTTCCAATACAACAATAACACGTGATAATTTGAAAGAAATTGAGTTGGCTAAAGAGGTGGGTGGTTTGAGTGGCCCACCTATACGTTCCAAATCGACCCAAATAATTGCTGAAGTATATGCACAAACAGGCGGTAAAATCCCCATTATTGGTGTCGGCGGCATTTCATCAGGTCAGGATGCGTTAGAAAAGTTGGAAGCAGGAGCTTCGTATTTGCAATTCTATACTGCCTTTATATATGAAGGACCGCCGGTTGTGCAACGCATTAAAAGAGAGCTATCACAATTGCTAGCTGATAAAGGGTATACGAGCGTGAAGGATGCTGTGGGCAAAAATTACAAAAGTTACCTTAATAAATGATGTTAAATTTATAAAATACGTAAAGTTTGTGCTCCTTATCCTTTGTATGGTATTAAAAATAAAAACATCTATAGAGATATATGCCTTTTTGTAAAGTTTTACGAAATATTTTTAATAAAGAATTTTTGCAATAAATACAAGTGATAAAAACTGAACATGTAGATGACGATGTCTATTTCGAATATTCTTAAGAGTTGGCTGGCTGCACTTTGAGTACTCGTCCTTCGATGAAGTGTGTATTTTTATTAGAAGCACTATTAAATCCATCGCGACTGCTAAATGATACGAAACCATATCCCTTTGAGAAGCCCAGCTGTTTATCAAAAACAACAGCGGCATTTGCGACATGACCAAAATTGGAAAAATATGATTGTAATTCTTTTTGGCCTATGGTCCATGGCAGATTACCAACAAAAAGTTTATAAGAATTGCGTGCTACGCCAGACATTATGAATAAATGGTTATATTATTTTTAAATGAAAAATGACGTTACAAATTTTCACCGTTCCTTTGTGATTTCAAGTAGATGTATAGTATGATTGCCCATTAATTCCAAGAGGTCAACTCCAGAACTTTTACCCAAGTTGTCGATAATGATAGGTACTGATCGCAGCTTCCACTTCTTTAACAACGCTTCTATAGACCAATCGGCACTACGTTCTTGATATGTGCAAATAAACTTTGCGTCCTTGTTTCTTTCAAGTAAAAACGAAATGGTTACAAGTATGTCTTCAAAGACACTTGGGTCGTAAAAGCAATCTGCTCCTATTATCAAATCAAGTGGCCCTATGTTGAAAACACTGTTCAGTAGCAAACCCCAACTGAGACCGATAACTTCAATATCTTGTCCTGGTACTAGATTATTTGCTAAGCAAGATTTGCGTATGTGTGCTAATGATTTTGGCAATATACAACTGTCGCTAAGTATAACACGTGCACCGCATTTAGCAGCCAATATACCAGGAAGTGATGTGCCTGCACCTAATTCGAGCACGCGTTTGCCTACAAKATTTCGACGATTTTCCCACAAAAACCAAGCCAATACCGGAGCACACGGCCAAGTATAGAAGGAGTAACCACTTTGTAAGAGCTGTGGAGATCAATTTGTTCGTTACATCATTGTTTCAYACGGAGAATGTAAATAAAAAAAGTTTTGTTAATTTAATTGTAGATAAAAGTATCGATAAGGCGTACCTCAGGTATTTGAATTTCTACTTTTTCCAATGGTTCTGTTAATGCAGTGGTATCGCTAGAGATTTCAGTTTTCTGATTGGTAAATACAAATTTTCTAATATGCTCAGGAATTTCGTTACTACCAGCACCTACACTTGCGATTTGTGTACCTGCAGTACTTGTTGTTGCTGTCACCGTTGCCACAGCTGTTGTTGTTTGCTCGTTATCACTTTCTTCACTCACTTGATAACCACTAGTCATTTTTAAATAACTTTAAGGAAAGAAGAATTTAATATATTTATAAAAAAATTTGTATTTATAATAAAGCCACGAAATTATTACAAAGGGATTAAAACTAGCGGGACTTTTAAAATGTCATGAAAAAATTACGATAAAATACCCTTTAAATTTAATGTATATGATTGGCAGYACTTTTATGGGAAATAACGGAGAAGTAATTTTTGGACTAGACAATTGGGTGAAATAACTTTGCAGATAAATTTATTAATTTAAAAATCAATTGCGAAGACTGTAAATAACTGCTTTGTGGCAACAAAAATGGATGAAGTGAAAACTTTCTTTGACTTCACAAAAGAATTTAGGCGTGTTCCTGTACCACGAGGATGCGTTTCGGGTAACATTGCTGCTAATGCAGGCAAAGTTGATAGTGGCAGACCCATTAAGCGCGAATATTTTGGTGATCAATATTCCAAACACATTGCGGACCAAGAGCGAAGACGAATATTAGAGGYACAAAATTTATATTTGAAAATTTACAAGTATAATAATAAGTTATATTATTTGTTTTAGGAGGACGACCCGATGAATGATACACGTTCGTCACGGCATGGTGCAACTTCATCTGCATGTATGGATGAACTTGAAGACTTAAGTGATGAAGATGATGTTAAACCAAAGACAAATCGAATTGATGACAATGTATATACACGATATAATTTTAATTTGAATCGAGATGAATCGCTTCCAATACACGACAACAAAGACCAAATTTTGGGCGCTATACGTAAATATCCTGTGGTGGTACTTGAAGGTGATACTGGTTGCGGTAAAACTACACAGGTGAGTAGTTATAGTTTAATATATGTGACCTGGTCTACGAAAAGGGAGCTAACGTGCGAAAACTAGTTTCCTGGGAAACAGCTGTTAAAAATCTTCCATCCGAATCAACTAAAAAGTGAAAATTGTTTTTTTCGGATTTTTTGACATCTAAGCCCCCTTTCCGTAGACAAGGTCACATATACATAATATGGTATGATAAGCGAAAACTCTTTGAATTATTTTAATTTGGAGCTAGTAAATTAATTCATATTTTTTTATAAATTGAAGAATATATTATGTATCTACCATAAAATTATCTAAAATGGCTTACAATTTTTTTTGTTGGTGCATATTCTCCCTTAAAATATGCAGATTTCTTCTAAGTCTGAATAGTATTTTTTAGAAAACTCATATATATTTATGTTTGGTATCTATATCCTTTTTTAAATATATTTGTTCATCAATTCGCTTATATTTTATATTTTTGTTGTTACTTATAAGACATTATTTAAGACTATTTAACTTATTTAGTTATCCTTATTACATGAAATCGTTCTACATTCTTTGTTTAGTTCTGTTTCTAATAGTTCATTCAGTTGCTGCTCAATTACTTCTTTTCCATTACTGCTTACATGACCATCACCCTCTTCCTCACCATTTTCTTGAGTTTCTGTTAAATGAGCATTCGTCTCATCAGACAAATTTTCTTCTGTTGATTGCTCAACATCGGACAAATCTTGACCTTCCGTGCTTCCTATGGATTCTTGCTCTTGCAGATCATCTAATAAATCGTCAGGCAATTCATCGGTGAATACCGTACGCGCAGACATTCTTCTAAGTGTTTTATTTTTCTTTGAAGAACTATCACTTGCACCACTGACTAGTTCCCTCTCTTTATCATTTTGCTTATTGGTAAAACCTTTACGCTTCAAATTTCGTTTTGTACTCTCTAAAGGTAAATATTTTTGTTTGCATACTTCTCCCTCACCRTCTTCAACTATTGCCTGAATATTTTTAAAGCATTCTTCTATGCTTTTGAAAATCGTGGTTGCTGGCAGTGATTGCTTATGCATACCACTTTTACTGGTGTTCACTAACATTTCCTTCATTTCATTGTAACCATCTTCGAGCACTGTCAACGCGGGTAATATTCGTTGCATTGCTGGATATTCTTGTAATTGCTGTCCGAGTCCTTTGCTATTATTCTTCTGCCAAAAGTCTACATTATCTTTATCATTCAAATTATCGTARTCAACAAAATCCTCTAAGCCAACACAATAATTTAAAGCTGTGAAACAAAATGCACCGGTTTGCAATAGTTTCCAAAATATATAACGAGGTTCGTCCATATCCGGTGTTAATGGCAAGGAGTTTATGAAGTTCTTTATTGATTTCCAAGTCTTTAGATTGCATTCAATTTTAACGTAACGTTCTGTAGGTTGTTTAAAGTAAGTTACATATAGCAGATATAGACAACCGATTCTTCTMCGCATACGTTCATCTGCAAAGTGTTGTGCCGTAGTGTTTTTCGTGCTATTCTCCATGGGTGGATCTATATTTATGTCATCCTCGTCAGAATTGCATATGTCGTGCTTTGCACAGTTCATAATCGCAGAGGTCGTTTGTATTATTTCAATATGTGACGTTTGTGCAAAGTAAATATGTTGGAATTGCAAAGTTTTCCACTGTTTACAAAATGAAGAGAAACTATTATTGCCCGAACGTACAAAGAGCGCTATTAATTTTCGACAGTCCTCGAAAACAGCCAATTCCATGATATCTCGCAATTAATTTTGTTTAGCGCTAACAACACAAAWATCGTTTGTATTCAGACATGTCAAAATAATTGTTCAGTGTGGCCAATCCACGATAGATTGCTTATTTTGGGATATTTTGTATTTACATGAAAACTGTAATGTGTGGAATACAATGCTCGCGACAGACTGCAAACGACATMTGTCAAATATTAAAATACACACGTTCTTATGGACGGAGCTGCACGACTACACGACTGCAGCCGACAGTTGTCGTTCTCGCTAACTTCAATTTAATCCTATATTTGCCAACGACAGTAGAGTTGACAGTAGAATGGAATATAGAGAGATGAGGTAGGGTGGTGATAAAAATGTAAAATGTAAAATTTTTCACAGCTCTAACAAACTTGACGTTAATTTACAAATAAAWGCATAAAATAGCTCTGGTACAGCATTTATAATAACAATTGATMATTTAAAACAAATAAATTTACCTATTTTCTTATTTTTTRCTTAAAACTTTCACTTTGARCAAAATATTARAATTTCATTGAAGTGCAAGGTATTARTATGACCACGACGAAATTGTGTACATGCAAAATGGACAACTGCGTTATTTTGTGTACATGCCGGCCATTGTTATGTTGGTG